GGATACCCTTCTTTAGGATATTGAAGAGTAACTTAGGAGACGTTCCTTTAGGATATTGAAGAGTAACTTAGGGTACCTTTCTTTAGGACATTGAAGAGTAACTTAGGATACGTTTCTTTAGGACATTGAAGAGTAACTTAGAGTACCTTTCTTTAGTATATTGAAGAGTAACTTAGGATACCTTTCTTTAGGATATTGAAGAATAACTTAGGATACGTTTCTTTAGGATATTGAAGAGTAATTTAGGGTACCTTTCTTTAGGATATTGAAGAATAACTTAGGAGACGTTCCTTTAGGATATTGAAGAGTAACTTAGGGTACCTTTCTTTAGTATATTGAAGAGTAACTTAGGATACCCTTCTTTAGGATATTGAAGAGTAACTTAGGATACCTTTCTTTAGGATATTGAAGAATAACTTAGGGTACATTTCTTTAGGATATTGAAGAGTAACTTAGGGTACATTTCTTTAGGACATTGACGAGTAACTTAGGGTACCTTTCTTTAGGACATTGAAGAGTAACTTAGGATACGTTTCATTAGGACATTGAAGAGTAACTTAGGGTACATTTCTTTAGGACATTGACGAGTAACTTAGGGTACCTTTCTTTAGTATATTGAAGAGTAACTTAGGATACCCTTCTTTAGGATGTTGAAGAGTAACTTAGGATACGTTCCTTTAGGATATTGAAGAGTAACTTAGGGTACCTTTCTTTAGGATATTGTAGAGTATCTTAGGGTACCTTTTATGTACACGAGAACCCCTCTAGCCAATACAGTATAGGTAAGATGTAAACCGAACTGGGTCACAATTTGTCATGTGACGAGATAAGGGAGATAATTTATGCAACATTTAGGAAATGACTCTATGATATGCTAGTTATCACTTCTGAAAGAACGTGTCATGGACACCTGGAGATGATAACTACGGGACATCACTAATGTTTACAAATATTGTGTGTTGTTGTGTGATGAGGTCCACTACGACTGTAGACAGTTATAAGATTGTACTTCATTGTAGGTTATTTTTAAATATTGATTAATTTGTTTCCGATGTACTTGATATACTATAATACGCTGTAGTCACATGATATGCAATAATTGAGCATGCATGGGATTACATAGAATTACGATCACGTGATCACGTGAACTAAACCCATAGTGAATTTGGCGCACACGAGTACAGACTGAATTATTTATTTGTTGAAAAACAAAATGCAACAAAGAAATTAAAAAAATAATTGGCACAGTAATAACACTAACCTCACATTTTCTTGTTGCAAACCTTCAAATAGCGATATTGTGTACTACCCAACATTCTTTTTGTGGTAAAATACTAATTTTTTGATTGTGTAACCAGCCAAGTTATTTCTCAAAACCGACTTAACAACACTTTTTTTATTTCTATTTTAAACATAGAAATTGTATTTGTCATTTGTTATGTCGAAAATTTCAACTAAAATGTGAAGCGCACAGATATAACAGACATAACAGAAAGATTATGTAGAGCAAGTTGACAATTGGTGGAAAAATCTATTATGTGGCACCAAATGAAAGTATATCGAGTAAAATATACTTGGAATGTGTTAATTGGAAGCAATTACGCTTTACTTCAATTAAAATTAAAAAAAAACACATAAAAAAAATAAAAAAGTGCGCACAATGATTCTTCACATGTGCCATTTTTGATACCAACAACACGCCTGAGTTATTTGCCACAGGTCGCAAATGTAATACTATATTATTTGGTTTGAAAGGGGTGCATTTGATCAAAATTCTGACCGACCCAGATTCCTGCGCTTCTAAATATCATCATGCCTACAGCTCTGAATGCATGACGAATGTCTGTTTACATAAAAACAATTCACATGGAAACCGTCCCCGCTTGCTAATATTTGAAACACCAACGCGACTAACTTTAATACATATTAACAACAGTTATCCATCTTCCCGATCTCATAAACTGTTATATATGACACATGATAACCTACAATAGTACATTACGACAAGATGTCATCATTGTATTTAACTAAGACAGCATACATTATTCGCTGCATGTACTCGTTCTATTTGGGTGCCAGCACACAAGGTAGTGTGTGTATTTGTAAACAACACATAGTATGCATTGACATTTGTAAACACGCCCACGCAATACATTGTAGACTAAGGGACTGGAAAAAAAGTACAGGGGCGGGGGGTAGGCCGGCGTTTTTTGCAAGTCGCGTACATAAAACCATATGTCCCTTCACAAACATTTGTATTACATTTGCTGACCTCCCCCTTGAATGGTGCATGAACAATTGTGACCCTCCCTCGTTCTAAGTGTAAGGATAGTAAATATATTAAAACTATATATACATACTTATTGATGTTCTACTACACAGCTTAAAACTTTTCTACTTCAATCAGTTAGTCCAGCTCTCATTGAGAAGAGAACAATGTATGATACTGTGTGTGTACCACATTAGGATGGTACATACACAATTTTACTTGCACCTTTATGAGTATTGTGTTGATTCATGTGCATTCTTTAAAATACGAGATATACATGTTCAATACCACCATTCTATATTCTTATTACACACTCTAGATATACACTTTTTTTATAACAACACTGAGATTCAGTCAAACTTTCCTGGTCTGACGAATTCTAGTAATAAAAGTATCGAGAAGCCTTTTATCCAAAGACTTGCCCACCATACAGTATAAATATGTTAGCGAGAAACGGAATCTTATTCACCAAATCATCTTCAGTGTATTTTTGTCTTAAATCAGTGTGATGTTGAATGAAATAAGATATATGAAACTAACTCAAACAATAAACCTATAAAAACAGGGAATGCCAGCTTTAATAGTCCCCATTCGAAATGAGAACTAATTCGTCCTTCTCTGTTAATTCTTTGCATGTGCCTAGTACTTTACCTGGGACATATGCACATTCAGTGGTTTACTGATTCAATCCAATATGTCTGACTGGCAGCCATTTTTTTTTTGAAAATGCATTCTGTGTCAGTTTTCATTCAAATTTGGTACATACATTATACATGTGAGGATACATGTCTATGTCGATTCGTTTCAGAATTGAATCAAAGATGGTCGACTGACAGCCACTTTGTTTTTTGAAAATGTTGTAACTTATGCATGCTTTGTCAGTTTTTGTTAACATTTGGTTCATGCGTTGTACGTTCTAGATTAAAAGTCCATGAACATTTGTTTTACAATCGGATTAAAGATAGCCGTCTGGTGGCCATCTTGCTTTTTGAAACTACAACTATAAGGCTTTTAGACCATTTTCATTCATGTTTGGCACATACATCATAAATATAGGAATACATGTTCATATCAGTTTGTTCCATAATTTGACCAAAAATGGCCGACTGGTATCCATCTTGTTTTTTTCAAATTATACATTTTATGATACATGTCCATGACAATTAGTTTCACAATCGAATCAAAGATGGTTGACTGCCTGTAATCTTGCTTTTTGACCATATTACTATATCTCTGTACATGAGCCCAGACAAATGAAATTCAGTTTGGATACAAAAAATGCATTAATAGCTTATCCTGTTTAATTTATGACCATATGTTTCGATTTTGGAAGAGTAATTTAATAAATCTAATTTCTGTTAATACTAGACCAGCCATTCATTCACTCTAAATTACTAACTAAACTTTTGGAATTATAACAGTCCCCGTTGGAATTAGGGAAAATATGTCATTCACAATGACTTGTAGCTGCATGCCAGCACAGCCACCATACCAACAAAAGTTTCCCCTAATTGGGGTAATACATTCCTGAAAATGTTACAATCATATTGTGAAAGCATATTATAAAACCTAAATTAAACAGATAAAAATTATAACAAAGAAAGCTAAATATAATGTAAAGGGAAGGGTGGATGCGGAAGAAAGGTCAGTGGAATTAGAAAGGAGAACCATAGGTAGTACCTTTATAGTAGGAAGGTGCTAGCCACACCACTGCTAGATCAAATATTATTATTAACTATTACTGGCGGCCTTAATTCCTCTTACCTTGGATAATCATAGCTTAAAATGATCACATTTTAAAGATCACATTTGAATAATCAGGGTATTAAGTAATGTAGTGTAAAAGTCACATTTGCATATTAATTACAATCTGCTGAAATACATGTATGTTTACAGTGGATATTGGTATTGTAAACACATATTGTATGATAATATTACAGTACAATAAATCTGTGTGTTTTAATCCAGCAGTACTCGTACATAAATATTATTTTTCCCAGTGGCGAACTGCTAGTCGCCAAAGAACTTTCTGTTCCAGTAACTTGTTTTTTTCTCCCAGATCTGGTGTATATTACCGGATGGGAACTTTCATTTCCATTGTCTGATGATTCATTATTAGAATCATCAAACAGTAGGTCATCATCATAGCTTTTAAGTTTTTAACATGTAATTCAATGTAATTACAACTGAATGAGTAATAAGAATAGGTGTTTGTCAATCAGACTGTGCATAAAATCTCGGCTACTTTTATTGTGGTGTCATGAGGCTTGCATTGCACAAAAAATTGAGACCCTTCCCTTTATGCCTGCACAGATTACTGTAACCCTCCCCTCAACACTTGCACGAAAATTAGTGACCCCCCAAAAAACACCAACCTACCCCCTCCTGTACTTTCTGTCCAGTCCATAATGTACACTGAAAGTCCCCTACTTTGTGGCACGTGAACAGTAACACGAGGAACAATGTGACATTGGGTGTTTAAAGGTCGGTTAACGGTAGCTTCACTCATTGACAGAGATATACTGTATACATTTGAAGGGTGGCATACAGACATTCGGAAACAAGTAGAGCGAAAAAGTATGGAGAGGGAACGGATGGATGGAACGAGGACACATTCTAATTTATGATATTAATTAAACCACCTTAACATTGATGCATTTGAATTTTACTGTAATCATGTGAAAATAACCCAATCCTGCGATAACACGTGAAATGTTATTGTACACTACAGGTATCGTACTGCGGATATATCTTAATTATCATGGCTGTGTATTGGGTGATGGAAGCCATGCCCATACCAGTGACGGCACTTCTACCATTGGTGCTTTTTCCGTTGATGGGAATCATGAAAGCCGAGGACGTGTCGCTAATGTACATGAAAGACACCAATGTACTTTTTATCGGAGGTTTAATGATGGCAATTGCGATAGAACAATGGAATTTGCATAGGCGTATAGCATTGGCTGTTCTTATGGTGTGTGGCTCAAAGCCAAGGTGGTAAGTAGGAAACAGTTCTAAGAATAAATATAGCATTGCTAACTAAAAAGCTATGATTTTCCCGACATCTCCAATACCTCCACGTTACACTTATATCATCGATGGCCAATAAATGCAATACTGTCACAGTGTGTTTGATCGGTTGATCGAAGTAATGTGTTGTGTTTGAATAAATCTGCATATGGTGATTACGCATAACACATGTGTATTGTAGAGGGCTGCGAGATCTCGGAAGCATAAAGCTGTTTGGCTACCACATTGCGGGGTGGGGGGATAGAGAATATGCTAACGCATAAACATGCAGACACTTGCAGTCAACGGAGCTGTCCACATTCAGTGAAGACACGGAAATCATTTGCAATGTATTTGTAATTTCATAGTAATCCAGGGGATGACAAATGCCTTACAAACTTTCTAATAAAATAGTTGTGGTAACGTGGAAGAGAATAGAAACTTTCAAATTATAGTGTGTAAAGGGCACATTTTTATTTGTTTCGCAAGAAAAGTGATCAAATGCTTAGTTTTTTTCCGGCGATTCAATTGGTCGTTTTAACTAGCCAATCAAGTGGGTTTCTCTGAGTCAGCGATGATCATTTGTTTAAAAGCATTGCTCATTGGATGCACTTGCAGAAAGCGTGAGTTAAACCTAGTGGTGACGTATTTGAGACAAAAGCTTTCTTTTATTAAACTTAATTCGTGTATGGCTAGACTAGAAACCGAAAAGAAATGCCGAGAAATTCTGAAGAAAAAGCGAACATTGTCTAAGTTTGATAAGGGAAATAGTTACGCAGATGTTGACATGCGCAGGGTCATCCTCACAGGAAATCACGACATGGCCTTACTTGTCACAAAATAAACACTTGGGGACCGGATTCGCCCTCTCTATACCTAACATGTACTTACGTATAGTTTCGGCAGTATCGCAATAGTCGAATGCAATATCTTCACAGAATTAGATTTTCGACGGCATGGAATCCAGGTTTTGGAAATACTGTGAGGGCGCTATTAAATTAATTTCACTGTATACAACATATTGTAAATAAACCAAATATAATCCATATGCATTATCTTTGTTAGGTTAATGCTGGGTTTCATGTGTGTAACAGCATTTTTGTCAATGTGGATAAGTAACACGGCAACTACTGCTATGATGTTACCAATCGCACAGGCGGTATTGGTAACTCTCTCAGACAGACTCGAAGAAAAGGTAAGTGGCACATAACGAAGAACGAAGCTTAGAAAGCATGTTTTTTATGTTCGCAAAAAATAAAAACACTAAACACAGGCTATAAAACTAAGCTATAAAAAGCAAAAATCAAATGAAAACCGTTTTGCCTAACGTGTAATTAGACCATTGGCGTGGTTCGTAATTTGATCACGACGTAGATAGCCATTGGCTAATGTCGCTCACATTTCCAACAAGCGGTAACCAAGAATCGTGACGGTAATACTTTCATATGCACAGAAAGCCGAGGATGCTTCTGCTCCATCAACTCCGGGGACGAAGAAGAAGCGTGCAAACGACGACTTTCCTGATTATGCAATACAAGGCCATGACGCGGATATTCCCTATGTCGTAACAAGAAATAATGATGGCATAGAATATGCTGTAGATGACATACAGTCCAACCATGTATCGTAAGTGTTAATAGTTGTCCTACGAGCATGGACATCCCAGTAATTTTTTGTTGTTTAAAGCGCGGTAGTCGTCGCGCTGCGCATGTGCGAGATGTATGGGTCTCATATAAAACAAAGACTTTGACTGTTGCGCAGATCAACGAGTACGAACTGAGACGTTTCCAAGCTTTAATTAAGTAATTTTCATGTTATTGAAAGGCATCGAAGGAGTCACCGGCGGTAATCAGTGCAAGTCGCGCCAGGTCAAACCTCATACTTGTGATTTCCATTTGAAGAGCGCATTGGATTGTGGGAAAATCAATGTTTATCAACACAAATGTGGCACATACGCAGCGCGACGACTACCGCGCTTTAACCACTATGTACCATCGTCTGAAATAACTGCTAATATTTCGCCTCCTTGGTCGGTATAAGATCGTTACGTTCATTGGCCGATAAATCTGGCACATTGACACAGCTAATTTGAATATGCTAATTTTCCGAAAACTGATATTTGCTATATCGACAAAAGTGCGACCGTCCAATTCTATAAATTTCTATGGTTCAAGAACAAAATATAAGCAGACATTCGATGGCATATAATGATTATAATATCTCAAACATAATTTAATTTATACGAATGAATAATTACGGGGGTATGAATTTAGTTGACTATCCATTTAACTATGTCTTGTTGACACTGCTGGGAAACGGGAATTCAAGCACAATATATTTCTCGCATTTACAGCGCATACAGCAAGCAAGACGAGTCCCAAGTACTCGCAGAAGAAGTTGTAGTAGTTGAACACGAGAACGCATTCGAAGTGGATGAGGACTACAGACTTATGAGTAAAGCGTTCATGTTGTGTGTGGCATATTCCGCTAATATTGGAGGCACAGCTTCACTCATCGGTACTACACCTAACCTGGTGTTGGTCGGCGTTCTTGACGAGTAAGTTGTAGTAAAAAAATGTACGATTATGCATTTAACGCGGTTGTCATTGAACTAATTTTCAAGTACACCATGACCCTTATTTGATTGGATACGGGTTTTGCATACAACCGTACCTAGTCCCTAAAAGTAAGAATAAATGCAATTCTTTCGAGCTACAGGTGTTCATAAGTTAAATTCGGTACTTATCTTAATGTGATGGTATCTAGCTAGGGTGCGAATCATGTCTGACCAGACAGGGCCAGGCGTAATATTAAACAAATAGTTACTGAAGTGGAAGTCAATGACCTGAAGGGGGAATACCTGACCGAAGCGCTCCCGAGTTCTATAATTCTTCTGATAAGCACCAAGAGAAATATGGCACGACCCAGTCACTGAGTTTCCAGTAGCGTTACGGGGCCGGGCAATTAAATGTACTGAATAAAGTACATGGATGTTTTTTATTAAGAAACAAAAATCACTCTATCAAAATATATAGATTATCGTCAGTAATAAAAATGTGACATTTACATTATTAATAGAACGTGTCACTGATATATTATGGCATAACAATAAAACAACATTAATTATATAATTACTTTCAGTCGTTACGGTGCCGAGAACCATCCGATCAACTTTTTATCATTTATGGTATATTCACTACCGGCAGCTATTATCTTTCTTTTTGCGGCGTGGGTATGGCTAATGTGTGTCTATCTTGATTTCAAGTAAGTATTGTCAGCTACATTTTGTTTCACGCCTTTGACATACTCCAACTGAAACGGTTAAATATCAAAGGATTCTTTCAAAAAAATTCTTTAGTTTATTTGTGATCGATTCTTGTGCATCATCGAAGCAGAACTTAAAAACAGTTTTGAATGACGGGATTTCGGATGTATAGTAAAAAGCTTAGTCGCTGAAACGACATGAACGACTCACGAACGAAAATATACCAGGAGTACCCAATGTCGTAGGAGCCTGGCACTGCACCACAGTGGCGGCTAACGCCTTCCAGTTCAGTCATATTGGCATAATATAAACATAAAATGTCCCTATGTATGAACATTAAGGCTCTTTCTGAGGCGACACATCGTTGAAGTTTAAGTTAGCAATTATTACCACCGATTACTGATAGCATAGCCGTTGTTGCACCAGAACCATGATCAGTAGACCTAAGTACAAATCCTACCTTATCCTGAATACCAAAAAGGGTCGACCCCTATCCTTGTTGAGTGTGCCACAGACTCAATGGGAAGGCTAATTCCACTGGCCGAGATTTAGGGGAGCCTTGGTTAAGGTCTGCAGATGACTGTGGGCCTGGTTGACGCAAAGATACCGCATTAAATTGCAATTTGACAGGGAGATGGCCGCACATCCCTGTCATATAGTCTCAAACATGAATATAGCTTCTGTGGCACTAGGTGTCAGCACTAGAATGTACCAATTATTGAATAGATGAACAGAAATAACCTCAGAATGTGGCTTATTGAAGCCTACAAACGAATCTGCTATGAGATCATCTGACTTTAACAACCAACATATACTAACAATTAATAGTATTAATTCCTGTTTTTTTAATTTCATAGTCCAAAAAACTGGTGGATAGATGGTAAATGCTGTTGCCTGTCATGTTCATGTAAATGTAACAAAACAGAAGAAGAGAAAATTGTAGAAAAAGTTATTAAAGAGGAATATGTGAAACTTGGAGATTGGACGTGAGTTTAAATTATTTTCACTAGGTTTTTTTGAATTAAGAAACGTTTTGAAATTTTAATTTTTTATGCACACTGGACTCAGAACACACGCATTTCACGTAATCAACATACTTGTGTGATATTAATTCAAGAATCAATTCGCAGTTCATAGTATTGTATGAAGGCAATTCTAGAATGATCATAAAGTCAGATTACACATTGCAATAAACATGATATCTCAGAGATATTTATGGCTAATACCATTAAGTCAGGAATTATATATTAGCAGAAAGTAAGGAAATCACCTAGCGTTGAGTTTCCAGAAACAGATCAATTAGATATTAGTATATGACATTTATGTCATCCGACGAATCATATCAGATATTATTACTCGTTTCAGATACGCAGAAATCACAGTATTGGTGCATTTCGTATGTTTAGCTCTTCTTTGGATTTTTCGTGACATTAGTGGTTTTGGATGGGGTAATCTCTTCCCAGAAGGGTAAGTATAAACAAATAATGTAAAATTACCGAGCCAAACAAATATATGTTTTAATCAAATTAATCTTTTATTTTGTTTATTTGTCATACATTTCCACGTACACATTTGTTTTTAAATAATGGTAAAATGACAGAAAAGCAATATTATTCAGACTTAGAAATATTTTTTTTAGAAACAATATCAATATATGATACGCAAATGTGACTACATTGTTGGGAAATGTTGGCTGAACAGGACAAGTTTTTAGCAGCAAGCAATATACTACATTAAATCAGAGAAGGTCCTGAAAATAATTGATTGCTGTTTACTGTTGTTTATTTCAGTTAATAAATTTACTCTCCAACCATCTCTTGTTTCGTTTACGACTGAAACATAAGGCTTTATGCTTAAAATGTGTGTAGTTTGGTGGGTCCTCAATTAGTGTTTACCCTTGTATTGTTATTATATTTTTGCCAAAACTCATAGTCTCATGAAAAGGCTCAAAATCTTTTGTGAAAAGCCGACAGATCATTGACCTAGTTTTTTCAATCTAATATAGTTCTGCTTAATTTGTTTTTGATCTTGTTATCAGTACTCAGTGACCTGTCAGTTTTATGCGTAAAATAAAATCCCAAATTATTAACTATTAATAAGAAATATCTAGACAGAAAGACATTTTGTGTGCTGAATATGAACTGAAGGTTAATATGATTGTAGATTATATATTTTTTCTTGCTATTTCAAATATTTGTCTGCAATCTACCTCTATCTCTACAGATACGTAACAGACTCCACACCGGCTATCACAATTGCTGTAGTTTTATTCTGTGTACCGTCTGCATGCCCGTCGTTTTTCTGCTGCAGACCTGTCGAAGGTAGATATTAAATGTGGTCGCATTGCGCCTGTGTCAGATATTAGCTCATTCGGGAAAACTCAATAACACCCGTATTCATGCGGTTATTTCATGCCATAAATTACTGGAAAGTCGTTTTGAACACGCGGTGTGCTACAACTTATAAGTGATTAGTATACGTGTATTCCTAAAGCGACAAACTTCTAAATGAAATGTCCATAGATTAAAAATTCTATAATCATTCTTTTTACCCTAAATAGAGCTTACTCAGCCGATGCAAATAAACGACCATCTATTATTAATGATAACTCATATATATGTAAATTGTATTTACAGATGACGACCCACCAGGATCAAAACCAAGTATATTAAACTGGCCAGCAGTGCATAAAAATCTGCCCTGGGGATTGGTTCTTCTTCTAGGGGGAGGTTATGCACTTGCAGAGGGATGCGAGGTAAGTAAGGATAAATATTGCCGCTGGCATGCATTGGACATAATTTACTGTCGGATACTATTTATTTACCTGTTAATACTACGTTTGCTTTGACGCAACATATTATATATTCCATATATAGGTTCACACTGTGGTTTCATACATTTACCCGTGTTCTCATAGACGATAGTATTAATATTTGATTGAGTATCCTTAAATCAAAAAAATAATCGAATAATGACTGCCAGTTTCCTGCACTACTGTTATTCGTAATCTAATCCACAATATATGCAAAATGTAACTATATGAAATTACTCTCATAAAGGAATGGAAGAAATACAAAATTACATGGTTTATAAAGATCACGGAACCACGTTTAGTCTAGTTGGTCTGTTATGTGACGAATTCGATGCCAAAAACTGGGATATTACATTGTACAACAATGTTTGCAGATACAGTACAACAATTGTAGATAGCCGATCGGTCGATGGGGTGACATCAACATACATCATAAAATACATGATTTATGTATGATCAATTTGTATAGGGGGTGACCTTGAGATTTATGACTAAAGCGAATACTAAATACAAGCAATTTTTCATTGACTGATCTTATCATCGACAGAGGTGAATTATTTATTATGGCATTTATTATGGCACTGCATGTGACACCTCGTGGCATCACACTCCATCTTGTTGCATAGGTTTCAGGGTTGTCCCAATGGATTGGGGAACAACTGGCTGTATTGGACTACCTAGAAGACTGGGTTATTGTTCTTGTGTGTACCACGGTCGTCTGTTTTTTCACTGAAGTGACAAGTAACACTGCCATTGCTACAATCTTTCTCCCGATACTGGCTTCCTTGGTGCGTATAGAAAGCTTTTTTTAAATAGTTGATGAGACTAGACTTTGATTTATAGTACGTACCCAAATACCAATGCACATGCGCGCAACATTCCGCCCAGAAATTTTGTCAAGATACATTAATATATTGTCTGCAAAATTTAGCTCTAATTTTTCTAACACGATTAAAATAATGCATTAAACAGTTATTTTGTTATCTTTTTTTAAATATGTCATATTTGTTATTATAGGCCGAACAGATTTGCATGAATCCACTGTATCTTCTAATGCCGTGTACTATTGTTGTGACGTATGCGTTCATGTTACCCGTAGCAACGCCACCCAATGCTATTGCATTTTCCTATGGTCAACTTACAATCCCAGACATGGTGAGTCAGGGGTAGATCATTACTGTGTATGGATGGGTCTTTTATTCGGATTATGTGTTTATATAATATCTGCTTTTTAACCCAGTCACTCCACTACAATCGAATAACGTATTCCCTGTTATTGAAAAGTCGCGGTGGAAGTAAATGCGGATCAGTATTGACAGGATGCTTCATTCTATTTTAAATGAATATTATTTAATTATTAATGATATGTAAACGGTCTGGTATGGTAACATTGATAGTCGAAGATATGTACAGGGAAATTGTGAGATTATAACATTACCAGTATTCCGTTGACCCAGTGTCAACTAGAGATGGGACGGATAGAATATAAAAATAGTACGGGCATATCTAAATCACGTAGACAAAAACAACATGTTACACAGACTAAAAATAAGAAATCGACCATTTATTGTTTTTGTTTTCAGGTTATTTTTAAGCGCATTAAATCTCGCTACACTAAGGTGTTGGTACATCGAACTTGAAATCTTATGGACAACTTGCGTTCACATGTCTTGAATCCATCATATTCTATTTACATGTATCGGGGAAATCGAGATGTGATTTCTAATTGATCAATTGATAATTAACATTGACTGTCTTATAATATTTAAGGGATAATAAATTTATACATATTTTTCTAGGCATCTGTTGGTTTCATGCTGAACTGCGTTGGTATTATATGGGTTAATGTCTGGGTGAACACCTATGGCGTAGGAGTATTCGATCTTGACGAGTACCCAGAATGGGCCATGTACGAGAATGCCACCTGTCTAGACAACGTGACAACAACGATGGCGCCTTTCACTACGCTAGCGTAACGTGAAAATGAAAGAGACAACGGCGAAAAGATTACATATGCACACCAATATAACGACTATCGTAAAGCTCAGGATAGCATCGGGAAGTGGATTAGGAAAAACTGCACCAGGGATATTAATACGTTTGAGCAGAATTGAAGATTATATTTCATCTGCTTTTATTATTATCGGTTAATACAACAAGGATATTGAAAAAAACAAACAAGTCAGGACCGAAATATAATGATAAATATTCAAAATTTGCTTCTCTGCACTGGGTTTTATGACGAAATTATTTTTTTTTATCTCTAAACTTCGATCGATGACAGACAGGGCTTGAAAAAGGAATTTCTCAGATAGTTTATTATATATCTTCAGATAAATTGGGTATTTGATAAAAAAAAATCTATTGAAATAGGAATTCTGATCGGCTGTTATTTTATGATATAGGTCGTGTTTCCCATGCCTCAAACATCACCAATCGTCATCGATGTTCAATAATTTGTGTAAATCCTTACAGAATACGTTAATACATACATACACATATAAATAAATAAACAAACAAATAAATAAATAAATAAATAAATAAATAAATAAATAAATAAATAAATAAATAAATAAATAAATAAATAAATAAATAAATAAATAAATAAATAAATAAATAAATAAATAAAAGTATTATAAAAATTTAAACCTATGGGTCACCTACTGATCCATCAATTATTGCTATACTTCCTAATATTGTTAAAACATTAAAAAACATTATTTTTGTGAGTTGTCAGTGTGATTACATTTTTAGAAGTACATTTTAATTTGGCTCATACTGCCTAATACAAATTGCACGACAATGTTAATTATTTTACTATGTAAGATCAAGGGGTCATAGTCACGTGATAATTTGAATCTGCATTCTTGAGATTGTTACAATTGTTAGAACAGGTAATTTTTCATATATTAATCAGGAGTACAATTAGTAAAATATACTGGAATTTTATGCGTAGAATTCTACCTCAATGCTAGCCATCCGCGGGCATTAGTCATAGCAAATAAGAGTAAAAAAATGTTTATTTTGAAGAAAAAAATATAAAAATAAGCTTTTTAGAACTATTTTCATATGGATTTATGCTAGAGCAAGATTTCATAAAAGAATCCCGAATATCATCAAATAATTGAAAACCGCTGTTGTGCAAATTTTGAATAAATGAACCGTTCAACTTATAACTAAATTATTGAGTGATATTTTAGCTAAATTGCTCGAAATAAATCAAAATTGGTTAACTTACACCTAGAGATACTAAAAATGTACCAAAAAACCGTAATATTTATTTTTCTACAAAATTAAATAACTGACACTTAATTGCCAGATGAATTGAAGGAATAAATAAAATAGAATGAAATAATTTGAAAACCAACTCACCCTAGGCCTATACTTATATTGAACATATTTTAGGTTGATATTGTCATTTTTATCTGAGTTGGCGTTAAAGAAAATTGATTCTTTTTATGTGGTAAATAGTCACTTGGGCGTGATACAGGACACTTCATGAACTATTTACGTTATTTTAAGTGTAAAAGTCATTTTCCACTTCCTATATGGGTCGGAGAAAAAAAAATTAGCACATTGTTTTTATCCATTGTAATTATTGTTTTGGAATTAAACTTTGTACGATATTTTTCTGAATCGATTAGGAAATACACTAATGTTAGACCTTAGCTTCGACGCTGAAGATACGGTGATCTCGTTTACTCCTCAAATACTGCACTATTAATACTGTACTGTTCTATCCTGTCATTGCGCCACTTTTCATAATATAATTTATACATACATTAGGAGAACAGTGGGCATGGTGATGAGAGAGATATTAGACATAATATATAAAAAAAAAATTCACACGCTTTTCGTGTTCCGTGGCCAGCACACCAGTCCGATTTTAGACGTACAGCATCTAAAAACATTCACACATGTTGATGGTATATCATTAAACAACAACGAGTCCCCAGCAGCGCCATATTGGATTAGGAGACGTGTATATGACAAGATAATACAGGGGGGTAATACAGCTGAACGCATTATCGCGTCCAGGCCCTTCTCAGAGTCAAATATGACGCTATGGGGGATTAATTATTGTTGTTATAAATCACGACCAACAGAATTAATAAAAGATATTTTAATTTTAGTACTTTTTTGTTAGAGTGAATGTACTTGCGAAAAAAAGGTTTACATTATCTTGTGATTATGTGAAACTATGACATCACATAAACCGGATGGTGATGATTTATAATAAACGATACTGAAAACCTCACAGTCACACATTCGAAGTCTATTTTATGTTCGACAGGACGCTCGCCAAGGAGAAGGGGAGAGGTAAACACTTCTTGTTAAATATGACGCTGTGGTGCGTGTATTGTTATTTTATTAGTTGTATCAATTAAGATTGTACAATAGTATCTTATGTGTTTTATGGTATTCAAGAATTTCTTGGGATTGTTATTTTCATTATATAAGTATCATTTCTGACATTTTGTTTTTAAATAGTTGTGAACTTTTTTTTATCCTGTATATCATATTTTCTTTGTTATCAAACCGTGTTTTATTATTTCCATATGACTTATTTCTAACTCCATTACGATATAAAAGTTTAATGTAATATGTACTTCCAAATAATAATAATTATTCAACACCAATACCCTGGCAACAAACGTATTGTACATAAAATGAAAATAATATTAAATACAAAGAAACATCTATATTGCATTTCTAAATAAGTAAGCCAGACTATTACATATTGTGTGTATTTTTAATTGGTTGGTTCATACTCATAATTAACTATTTAACAAAAACAAAACAAAACAAAACAAAACTGTCTGGTGATTTGTTATGTTCATCACCGGTGTTATTTAGACCTCTTTTGACTGATTGTTTTCACACATTTAAAAAACAAAAACATTTTATTTACTATTCTTCTCACAATGATGTGTGACTTTTGATTTGGAAGACGTTTGTCGCAAATGCTATATTAGACTAGTTGGTGTGATGTTTGGCTAAAGTATGCATGGAATGGAACTTTCATTCATTTTGTCTGACTGCTCACAGAATGTAGTGCCATGTTTGTTTTTATTATTGGGGGACGCTTACGCGCGTAATCATTCCATATTTGGAATTCGCATTTCCTTAATATGGCAGGATGAAGATACCCGTAAAATACCACAAAATTACGGCACGCTGTAACATATGGCGTTACGGTGACAGATGTATAATAATAAAACATATTAAAAACATAACTATGTTTTATTACATTTATTGTTTTGATTTCGATTATTTTACTGCTGATGGGTTGTCCTCTGATTTATTTTGAACTGTATATATTTGAAGTATTAAGAAAATAAATGAGTGGTTTTGAAAGAAATGATGATGTTAGTGATTATGTTTTAATTGTAGTAAACACAAGTAACATTCTAGTTTTGTCTTTGAAACCACCTGTAGATTAGATAACGACGTTCATTTCGTGAGCTGTTAATATGCCTTTCTTTTAATCAAATATCGTTGACATACTAAAATAACAAAACTTATCATCACAAGTTTCGCACATGCGTAGTACGGCAACTAATGTCATTTTCGGTGAATACAATCTTGACCTAGATTATTACATGTATTAGATTAATATAGGAGTTGCTCAGAGCATCGAAATTCATGTATTGAGCACATCTCGTACTTGTCCTTTTGTACACAATAATTGGCTTCGGGTCGTGCTTTAATCTTTATGTTTATGAGCGCTAACTTTGCCCTGATTAGATGTGTGACCTTGATGGTACAACACCTACATATATTGTATATATATATTTGTCTGTAAGCTCAGTACCCTATTCATGTGACGTTTTGCATGCACTCGATGTTATGCATTTGCAATGAAAACAAGCAGTAGTTGCTGATAATAGGATTTTTATAGTCACCGATTCGAACCGCTGGCCAAATTTACCAACTTAAACAAATTAAAAGGTGTACAATAAAAACTATTAACTAATGCGTTGTGGAAGTAGTTTAACGTGACTGTGAGCGAAATTTGCAATGTTTTTCGACAACATCGCCAACAACTTGCATTGTCTACCAGTATCCAACCAATTATCATATTTATTGATGCCTATGATATCGCCAAGTCAAAATAGGGATAAAACTATATAGGCATATGATCATTAGTTTTTTTTATAAATAACCTATTAATTGTGCATCGAGGAATATAACTCATCCCATACATAGATTTAATTATATCACTCACTTTTTTCTTATTAGTAGGAGTTAAGCTGCACTCCTGCTTATCAGTTATTTTTTAAATATGAGTTAATATATTTGACTCATTTCATTTCAACTTTATTAATAATTTGTTTAATGAGTTCATCTTCATTTTTGTTTTAAATCTACATTGAACATGATGCTAAATGTCTTCCTCCACGGACTTAACACTATGATAATTATCCGTCATATGTTATACATGAGACCAGCTGATTATAAATCGATAAACGCCATCATGCGTCGAGTTTTGACAATTTTCATGATTCACGTTTCTAATGTAATAACACAATTGCTTTTCTATATTTTCTTTGTGACTTTGCCTTGCGCATATCCATCTAGTAACTGTGCCTAAAACCATCGATCATTATACATATTTGTGACGTCATAGATTGTTTACTTTCATCTACGTGCTGCATGAAACATGTTCATTACATGATATTTGAACACGACTTGATCTGTTACTGTGACGCAGTGACAGTGATGAGACGCATTACCGTGGTTAGCCGAAATCTCGCGTGATTCACTCACAAATATGTTATTAATGTCGTACCCAAGTACCTAACAATACATGTTAGCCATGTCTTCTAATCTCCGCATTCAAAATCACATTGATTTGACATTACGGACATGTATAATGACCATGTATAATAACAATTATTTTTCGTTACCTGAATACATGAATCGGCTTTCTGTATCATGGTTAGCAGTTGGTATAACTATCACTCACGTATGTATGTATGTAATACAAACCATTATGGACAAAGTAAATAATACACGGAGATGTTGGCTTTACGTAACATAACATTACGTAACAGGAAATAATACTCACCGGAATTGGGATGAAG